GATTATGTATTTATTTATTTATTTATTTATTTATTTATTTATTTATTTGTTTATTTATTTATTTATTTGTGTATGTAATTTTTGGAGCTGTCAGCTGATCTTCAGACGTTTCCTATTAAAAAACTAAGTTCCCATTGGTCAATCAGAGTGATCATGGTTATTGAGTTAAAATATTTAACAACTAATGTGAAGTTATTTTTTTAACAAATCGTGTTTTTAACCATCTGATTCCAGGTTTTTGCTCTTGATGCCTACAGCTCCAGCTTTGCTGTTTGCTGACAGACGAAACTAAACTGATGCCCTGTTAACACACCACTTCATAATTTTACCCACATTTAACCTGTAGCAGGTGCTGATTTCCACCTGTTTATAGTTTTACAACTAAAACTGTTTCTGACGCCACCGCAGTTTGTCCTTCATGAGCCTTCGKAGACAAGATGGCGGCTGCCTGTGTGGTGACCTGTGACCATGGAGATATAAACATCTTTTTATAAGGTAAAAATAATAAAACAAGGTCTTTGTCTGCAATGATTAGACATGTTTTTATTATTGTCATTAGTGATTATCTCAGTTTCAGCTGAAAGAAGAGATGAAATCCCACACCCTGTGTCTTTAAACATTTACACTGTATTTTACAGGAAATTCAGAGCAGCCAGTAGGTGTCAACTGCAGAGTTACAATTACTTCAGTTTGATCAGTTCCGTTCACGAACCTGATCCGGTCTCATTGATACGAGTCAGGGTCCAGTTTTATCTGTTCCTCATTCGAGGTGGCTGTTATTGAAAGTGAACCGGCTTCAGAGGTCAAAGGTCACTGCCTCATGGTGTCAGTGACCCTGAGTGTGTCTGCAGAGCCTGAATGAACCAATCAGAGAAGCTCTGGCTGTGTGCCTCCTCCTCATTTTCTTCTTCTGGAGTTGGTGGGACCACGATGCACGGCAAAGGCAGCTCCTGGTGAGAAAAACAAACTTCATATTTTCTCAGATTGTCGAACTTTTAGCCCGAGGAATTCATCACTTTTCAAGTTACTGACAGTAAAAAAGAATTCTGAAAAGATGTTTTATCTCTGCTCACATTTTCAGCACGTTTGTTTCATGACAGAACATCTCTTTTTTATTCCCATTTATCTTTGAATAGAAGGAAAAGGACTTGTTCCAGGACAGGTCTGTAGGCTCCCTTCAGGCCCAGAACAGGTCTGTAGGCTCCCTGCAGGCCCAGGACAGGTCTGTAGGCTCCCTGCAGGCCCAGAACAGGTCTGTAGGCTCCCTTCAGGCCCAGAACAGGTCTGTAGGCTCCCTGCAGGCCCAGGACAGGTCTGTAGGCTCCCTGCAGGCCCAGAACAGGTCTGTAGGCTCCCTTCAGGCCCAGAACAGGTCTGTAGGCTCCCTTCAGGCCCAGGACTGCCTTGAAAAAGAGCTCGAAGGGATTTATCGGATTAAATAAAACCACATTTAAAAAAAGCTTTACTTTAGCACTTGGTTGCACCACACTTGTTGCTTCATGTTCCCAGGTCATTTAGAACAGGGGTTCTCAAACCTTTTGGGTCTGGGGACCCCTTACAAGGGCGAAAAAATTCCAGAGACCCCCTCATAGACCCCCTGCTGTTTTAAAAGATAATTTATTGTCATTTCAACCCCTAAATGCCAGAGGAATATAATTTTTAATTAAGTTTATTATGTTTGTTTTATCAGTTCATTGTTCTCCATGCATTTTTAAAAATCAAAACCAAATTAAGATTTTAGTAAAAAAATTGAGGACCCCCAAGTTACCTCTTGCGGACCCCTGGGGGTCCAGGGACCCCAGTTTGAGAACCTCTGCTTTAGAACATTTTTACTTGCTGTCACTGGTAAAACCTGGCAAGTAATTCTGACAACAGCCTTCTGTCATTGAAGGGTTGGTCAAAAAGACGTTTTCAGGGTCTTATCAGCTTTGTTAGAAATTGGGTTTAGTGGTTCCCCAGTGTCCCAGATTGTTCCATAGTACTAATAAAGTGTGTATTAACATAAAATAACCAGTAAACACTCACAGTTTTTATTTGCCTACAGGAAATATTCTGTTTCTGTCAAATTATACCATATTTTTCCCATTTAAAGTGCACAATAAGTAGTGAATGGGCACCAGTGCCCACCATGTCCCTGACAGGAAGAAGCAGGTAAAGATTAATGGATGAAAAATGTTCGTTGTTTTCTCTTCCTTTCTTTTACGTTGTGGGAGGGGCTGAGTTTAGAGGAGCAGGCCTGTGGTTAAAGGCTCCTGCATGCTGCTGCCCAGCTGTCGCAGTTTTATGACGAAAATTGCGTCACTTCAGTTTGCAGTGCCGACATTTCGGCACTTCTTGTCACAACCCGGGGGTCGAACTTTTCACCCCCTCCACACAAGAACACACTCGAACTGTATGGTGTGATTGGTCAGAAGTTTGTGGGAGTGTTTGTTTGTGCTGAAAGGGCTCAGACGCTGCGTTTGCTTCAACCACTCGCTTCAAAAGAAAAAAAAAGGAAGAAGAAAGCGATTGCTTCAGAGCCAACTGTTGTACCAGGAAGCAGTGATTTATAAAGATGGTCATACGGACAAAAACTCAGAAAAGGGGATAAAACAGACATTTTTCACGGTGGAATCTGACTGATTAAAACTTTGGAGCTTAATCCAGGACCAGTTTGTGGATTAACAGCGTCGAGCGAGCCGCAGACTTCTTTTTTTTCCTGTGTTGGACTCCCCCAGGAAGAAATCCCACGCAGTGACGTGTGCTGCAGTGGGAGGGGTTCCCCAGGAGCTCGGCTCGGGGTGTCTGAGGAACCATGAGAGGTGTGTGTGAAAACAACCACTGAACAACCACTGAACAACCACTGAACAACCACTGAACAACCACTGAACAACCACTGAACAACCACTGAACAACCACTGAACAACCACTGAACAAACACTGAACAACCACTGAACAACCACTGAACAACCACTGAACAAACACTGAACAACCACTGAACAACCACTGAACAACCACTGAACAAACACTGAACAAACACTGAACAAACACTGAACAACCACATGACGGCGCGTCGACCGGTCGGCTGCCGAGCGACCGTACTGCCTGCTTTACTGGTTAGTTCAGACTGGTTAACTCTTACTTGTTAGTTCAGACCGGTTAACTCTTACTGGTTAGTTCAGACTGGTTAACTCTTATTGGTTAGTTCAGACCAGTTAACTCTTACTGGTTAGTTCAGACTGGTTAACTCTTATTGGTTAGTTCAGACTGGTTAACTCTTATTGGTTAGTTCAGACTGGTTAACTCTTACTGGTTAGTTCAGACTGGTTAATTCTTACTGGTTAGTTCAGACCAGTTAACTCTTATTGGTTAGTTCAGACTGGTTAACTCTTACTGGTTAGTTCAGACCAGTTAACTCTTACTGGTTAGTTCAGACTGGTTAATTCTTACTGGTTAGTTCAGACCAGTTAACTCTTACTGGTTAGTTCAGACTGGTTAACTCTTATTGGTTAGTTCAGACCAGTTAACTCTTACTGGTTAGTTCAGACTGGTTAACTCTTATTGGTTAGTTCAGACCAGTTAACTCTTACTGGTTAGTTCAGACTGGTTAACTCTTATTGGTTAGTTCAGACCAGTT